AATGCAAATAAAAATATTTTTCAAGGTTTCTCATAAAAATATACCAATGTTAAAATTTATATACATTTTTATTTAATTTTCAAATTGTTTTTTTAGTAATTTTTAGAACTAAACAATTTCGTACAAATTTTTTTTGTTGCTTTAATCGTTTCGGGCTCATACAAAAAAAAATAATCTCTTGCGGGTTAAGGTAAAAAAATGGTTTTTAAAATTTTTTTTAGAACACTAATTTTTAAAGAAATGCGAACAAAGAATGGACTCTCTTAAAATGAAATAGTCAAAATTCTATTATTTAAATTAGTACAAGGGTTTTAAAATTTGCGGAAAAATTGAGAAAATATCCAAATTTTACGGATGCTATCCGTACACTGATATCATGAAAAAAGTGAATTTCCTACGCTGAATTACCTATTCCTTTTATTTTAGTTCAGTACGAGTACCGGGTCGCAAAAAAACATAACAATTACCTACTTTCGTTTTATTTCATTTCATTCATAACTTTATAAATCATTCATTCGGGGCCTTGATGTAATTTAACGGGTCCGTTAAAACAGAAATTTTTGCTAAATCTGTTAGTGGCCATTATTTTTTAATTGGATATTTTTAATGGACTTCTTTTTGCAAAAAAGACCAAACCAGACAGTATATTTAACGTTTACGTTTATTTTCTTAAATCAATTTAATTTAATTCAATGTTTAGTTTTATTTATTTTTTTTTGTAAGTATATATGAGGAGCGATTAGACAAAACGAGACAAATCCATTTTAGTGATTTTCAGAAATAAGTCAAATGCAAAAGAATTCTTTTCTTTTTGACTTGTTTCTGCAAATCACTAAAATGGATTTGTCTCGTTTTGTCTGATCGCTCCTCATACATTTTTTAAATTAAATTAATTTTAAGTTGTTGATTGCTACTTTTTTTGAAATGTGTATATTTTCCAAAACAATTTTTTTTACAAAAAAGTCAATTTTCCCAACTCCTGCAAACCTGCAGGTTTTTTCCCAATTTTTCCGTTTTTTTCGACACTTTAAAACCCTAATTAGTACCAGCATTGTTTACTAATAAAATAGGCGTTTTTACTTTTAAATGGTTATTTTTTTCTACTTATATAAATATTAAAAAATAAAGTTTGACTAATTTAAGATAAGTCACCAACTTTGACTGTTTCTAAAACTAAACAGTAACTAATTTCATAATTGTTTTAACTCTTAAATTTTAACAAATTATTATTAGCGTTAAATGCATGCAGGGCCCCATGGTTAAATGGTACATAAAAACAAACAAAGATTCAAAAAGTTAAAGATATTTAAGTTTAAAATATTATTATAAATATAAGTAATTTTTATAAAAAGTGGCGCTGTGATTAGACATCCGCTTGACAACTAAGAGACCCGAGTTCAAACCTTGGCTGTGTCAATTTTTTTTTTTAATTTAAATCTACTACTTTGACTATTTCATTTTGAATGTCATTGGGACGATGCTCTAGGACGAAAAATGTAAAAAGTAGGCGGTTCTACCCAATTTTTTTTATTTTAAACACAGCACTAATAAAAAAAGTTATTTATTTTGAATAAAAACTACAAAACGATATCAACTCTTTTTTCCTACCATGGTATGCATAGACATAGCGCACAATCTCAATACAGTACTTACTATACGATATATATCCTAAATTTTGTAGATAAACAACTTTCTTAATTAGAGTTATACGTTTTATAAATTTGTTTGGGGTCAAAAAGTGATAAAATTATTATGGGTACTACCCAATGGCATAAATTTTAGGGGACAATGTCCCAAATTTTTTGTTTACGATTTTTTTCCAGAACTTAACGTTTCAAGCACAATAAAATAAAATAAAAAAAATTGCATATAGCTATACAGGTTTTGATAAATTTGATCCTTCTAAAGAAATTTAAGGTCAAAGTTCAAATTATACAAAATTTGCCCGACTCATTTAAAAAATTTTGAAATATTTTTGTAGAGAATTGAACGCTGTTTTTCCGAACTTCCAGAGCTCAAAAACAATATTTCGATTCGTTTTTAGCACTTTGAACTAAAAAATCCAGAAAAAATCCGAGAAAACGACTAAATTGACGGTTAATTTCACTTTAACCTTCAATAACTTTTAACCAAGTTTACTTACCGAAAAATGACTCTAGACCTTTTTTGTAGAGCGTTCAATTCTCTACAAAAATATTTTTTTAAATGAGTCGGGTAGTTAAAAACACAAAAATTTCGTATAATTTGAACTTTGACCTTAAATTTGTTTAGAAGGATCAAATTTATCAACAAATCATAAAAAACCTTTTTTGTAGAGCGTTCAATTATCTACAAAAATATTTCAAGAACTTTACAGTACGACCTATTGTTCGTTAGTTACAAAAATAAAAAGAAACAAAAATAATTTTTCCTGTTATTCTTATGGAAAATCGAAAAGTGCGATGCGGAGCATCTTAATTTTGAAATTAAAAGCTCATTTTTTCACAGGCTCCTTTTTATATCAATACGAAACTTTTGAGCGTGGTTCCGAGAAAAAAAACAAAAAAAAGGTTTTTTTGAAACACCCTAGTACTTATGCGCACTTTTGTAGCACGCGCCGCACCTCGTGGGGTCCAAGACCCTCTTCGCGAAGTCGCGCATCAAACTAAAACCTAAAATCTAGCAGGTAGACAACCGCAATCCGCCACACGTCATCGCGTTTATATTTTTTGCTCCGCTTATGGAGAACAATACAATTGTTCATTAGTATGCGCGTAGCATCGCTAATTACCTATCTCGGACGTATTTGCTTTGCATAATGAGAAACAGAAATACGTCTACTAAGTATTTATTACGAAATGTAAGGAATTGGGTTATGTATTATTTTACATACATTTTCAAGGGGTTTTAGAAAATACCCTGTATATTATTTTGTAACAAAACTAATATCAACTTGTATGCTACAATTAATGATACAACCATACTAAAAAAAAATTTTCGTTGTCAACGTTTGGTTTAACTCAAAAGTAATATAACTAAAAAGTCTATAAAAATAAAAAAAATGCACAAAACAGTATTTATTTATTTGCAACTTACTTTTTAGACGGACAATATGAATTGACATTCGCACAAAATAAACCTTGGCCGCAACTAAATGCGGAGAAAGGTTTGTTTTGTTCCAAACTATCGACTAGACATTTCCAAAATAATCAATATCAAATTTAATAGAGTCGGCTGTAACTGTTGAACTATTTTTATATTTTAATCAAAGTAATACAATGTTAAAATATATAAAAAAAACAAAACAAATATCAAAGTAATCTTAATCCAAATTGCAAAACTGAAAAACATAAATTCTTTCTTTAAATCTTTAAAATATATATCTGTAACGTAAATATATATTTAATAATAATTAATAATAATAATGTGCCAAACCAATTCTAAGGTAACTGTCGTGTCCAATGTTGTAAATTATAGGTGTTAGGTCATGCAGATGTATAAGGTTACTTATCCAATTTTGCAGATGGCCCTTTCCTCCCTTGTTTGTCCTCTTTTGATTTTTTCGTGAAAAGCGTCCAATTGACAGGTGGTAAGACCGCCCTGTAGCTGACACTTATCAGTTCACACTTTCTTAAGCGTAGGGTAGTCTCTACTTTGTTAGATTTTTATCAACAAAACCACTCCGCGTCAATGTCAGGCAGTGACTGCCACGCGATGCGCTTTGCTTTGCGCACCACCCGTGTTTTTAATTGGCGCACATGCATGAGCGACCGGATGTTTATAAGAGCGCCAAATTTAAATATTTTAAATGTAATCTAACAACTTACTATAGATGTTACACTATATTTAATAATTATTTGTGGGTTTAGGCTTTTATGTTTGAGGTCGCTATGTCGAGTGTTAGAACGTGACTGGGCCACCACATCTTCAGTCATGTGCTATAAAACTACCAATTAGAGCAATTCTCTCGCCTCAAGCAGCGACAAATGGACGCGAACTCGCCTGATATATTAGTAGGTAAATAGTTTACGCTCTTTGCTGGTAAGTAGGAGCTTCACATAAGAGTTTTTTACAGACTAGGATGTAAAAAATATCACCTGATTGATCGAAATTATGTTTACAATAGGTAAGTGAGAGTTGACAATAATAAAGCCTCAATTATAGAAAGCTTGAAGATAATAGTTATTTATGTCAATTAGGTTAAAAAGTAAGGCTTTTTGTGCTAAGCTCAAGGTTTGAACAATTGAACGAAGCACAAAAAGGCACTTCTTGGCCGAATGGCATACAACATTTTATCTTCAAAGCACTTTATATAGGTCAATTTAATTCAACATCAAAGTGGCCTAACCTCACTTTTTTAGAATCTCATTTATTTATTAGCTAAAGATTACATTAAATGTACAATAATTATTATTGCTTTTAGAAGCAGTAATAGTTTGACAATACCTAGCAACATGATTTAAGTAGAAATGGATTTTTGCCATTACATTGAATTCAATTAATTGTTTAATAAATAGGTAGGTATCTAATTTCAATTTGTTTGGATTTGTATTTAAAAAATAGATAGTTTGGAATGTTTAAGCTGTGTATAACATTTAATTTCACTGAAAACTTAAAGCAAATTAAAACTTAAAGATAATTTAAATCGTAGAAAAATAATCGTGCGTTTTCTTGGTTGCCTAACCTCACTGTTTGTTTTATTATTCATATTTAATTTTACAATAATTTAATGAAAAATATTAAACATTAACAGTAAAACAAACAAAATAGTGCTTATAATAAATAAATTAAACCAGTTTAGTACGTTAATTTCTTAGAAAAGGATTAATTTGTCAAAACAATACCCCTATAGCGAGAAAAAATCGAACTAATTACTTGCCTCATAAAATTTTTTATCGGCCTAGGCCATAACAAGGTATTTCTTTATCGAATGTTGACAATAATAAAGCCTAAATTATAGAAAGCTTGAAGATAAAATCATTTTTCTTCAAAATTTGCACATTAAAACAATATAAACTTACCGTCGAAACTTTGACTTCTTTCGAAGTACCGTCCTTTTTCCGGTGGAGGAGGTGCCTCGGGTTCTAAATGTATAATGCAAGACTTAAGTATGAAATCTAACCAAACTATCGGAGAAATGCAAAAAACGATTAAAATCCATAATTTTTAAAAACAATCTATTTAAAGGTATGATCAAAATCCATACTCGATTAAAATCCATAAAATGCGAATTTAATCCATAAAAGTGATTAAAATCCATAACAAGGTACTATGCTCCACACCTCAAAGTCCCACCACGTGACCACGTACGGAACGCAGTCTTTTGAAAATTTGGCATTTAAGGCTTTTCAGGTTATGTATCTGTCAAAGTATAGTCAATGAAAGAAATAATATTTATAGTGTTACCGCTTATGTTTAAGCGTTAAAAGTTAATAAATCTTTATAGTATCACAATATCAATGGTTGGTTTAAGAATTTAGGAATATAAATACTGCATTTAATGAAATTCCAAAGTGTAAGGTGCAATATAAGTTATATTTTTGTGCATTGGGTGTACATTTCTCCATAAAATAGTTTTAACTAAACAGCATTTATTAAAAAAAATCTAACTTCTCTATTATGAAATAAGAATATCTGTATCAAAGGTAGGTTAATGTATAAGAACAAAAAATATCATCTTATTTTGTATTTTAAGGTTAGAAAAATCTATTTTGACCAAAATAAATAAGTGGATTATTTGAAAGAGTGTGTTAATATGGTCATAAATAAATATAGGTATATAGGTATACTAAATAATTGTTGAATATAGTTCAAATTAAATTGAAGCTTTTATACTTCTAACGACAAAACTTGTGCATATCTCTCGGCATACTTACTTTAAGTTAGATTATAAGAAAACAAACAATTTTTAGAGAAACTTACAATGTGAAAATATTTAATACTCCCATGACATGTGATTTATTAAAATTTTTATATGATTTTTTGAGGTAGATCAAATTCAGTCGAAGCTTTTTAACTGTTTGTATTGACAAAACTTTATGTAGGTACACTTTAAGCTGGATAAGAAAAACTACCACATTTTTAAATACCATATTATACAATCTTTTAAATAATCCAAAATACTTATTTATTTTGGTCAAAATAAATTTTTCTAACCTTAAAATTAGAAAATAAGATGATATTTTTGTTATAATATATTAACCTACCTTTAATACAGATATTCTTATTCCATAATAGAGAAGCTAGATTTTTTTAATTAAATGCCGTTTAGTTAAAATTATTTTATGGAGAAAACCAGATATTTGGACCAAATGCACAAAAATATTACTTATTTGGCACCATACACTTTAGAATTTCATTAAATGCAGTATTTATATTCTTAAATTCTTAAACCATCCATTGTTATTGTAATGTTATAAAGATTTATACATTTTTAACGCCTAAACATAATATTATTTCTTTCATTGACTATACTTTGACAGATACATATCCTGAAAAGCCTTAAATGCCAAATTTTCAAAAGACTGCGTTCCGTACGTGGTCACGTGGTGGGACTTTGAGGTGTGGAGCATGGTACATTTTTTGCATTTCCCCGAAAAATCTATCACTATATCTTTCATGCATTTTAAATATGTGAACTAGACTATCGGGTGGTGTTTCAGCTAAATACGACACCTTTAAACGACACCGAGGGTCTCTGAGTGTGAGTTGAAGTCCGATTGTACCTTACTGCTTCGGTTTTCGGTTGGTAGCTATCAACGGGTCGGTGAATCCCCTGTCCCTCGAATGGATCCTGTTTTTTCGCTTCGAAGGATTTACTTGGAGGTGGGCTGGATTTGGGGCGGTCCTTGCGAACCAGGGAGGTGTCTTTCGAGGCCATAGAGTTGTCAGGGGACGAGAGGGAGCGGGTGTTGTCTTCGCTCTTCGGGTATCTATGCGCCATCCAGGAGGCGGCCAAGTACGGAGCTATGTCGCGCAGCTCTTTGACGTTCGGGGATGATGTGAAAACGTGCCCCATCAGAGAAATATCTCGACTGAATTCCTCGTACTTTTTCTTTAGCTTGTGCACTTCACCCACGGGGCATCCTAAAATGGCTGCTAGCTCTTCGGTGCTTTTAGATTTCTCACCGGGTTTTTTCGTGTGCAATCTAGCTATCTTGCTTATGATGTTAATGTGCGGCATATATCTATCCTCGGCTCTAAGAAACATCGGCGAAACCACACCACCACGTCTCACCCTACTTCTTCCACGTGGGAATTCGTAATTACGCCTTAAAGCATCTACATAGCCATGCAGAATGCTGTTATACTCCCTATTCAGCTCTGAGTCACTCTGCGATCTATTCAGTGAAGACATGCTGGTACTTCGACTATCCGATAACTCAAATCGGTTTTTCAAACGATGTACTTCCCCGGATTTTACCAAAGCCTGGGTATCCTCGAAAAAGGGCGACAGAGATCGACTTCTACATAGGCTATCATAGCTGGTAGCATTGGAAATCGGCGTTCTCAACGGACTCAAGTCTATTTGTCTTAGCTGCGGAGGTTTCGGTATACTTTTTGACGTTGTTAGAGGCATTGTGGCGAATTTCACCAACTCTTTTTCGCCGAAAAGTTCCTTAATGTTTTGACATGAGTTCGATAGAGTTTTGTTAAGGGGTTTGTATTCCAACTTATTAGAATTAACAGTGATTGTGTCTCCAACATCATCTTCATCATCTGCTGGTTTATAAATTGTCGGTGTATACACTTCACGTTCCGGTGCAGTTTCAAAATATTCAACTTTATTTTTGATTTCTTCACTGGGAATGTGTATGACTGTCTTCGTAGACTCATCAGTGCTATCGGTTTCACTGGTGGAAAGAATTTTAACTGTATTTAGAGCGTTAGTTCTCACCAAGGGTTTTACAGGCAATGTAGCTTTCAATTTGGCGTCTTTTGCAGCTATAGCACCTAATATTTCCTTACCCACAACAACTTTATTAGCGTTTTTACGTTTAGATATAACATCAAGAACTTCTTTGCTTAGGGTTTGAGATAATTCCCTTTTCTTACTCTCGGAAATCTTAGCAGTAGTCAAACACGATGTACTTAATGAAGCTGGTTTAGACTCGCTTGAAACATTTTTAAATATGTAACTCTGTTCAGAAGCCTCAGAGTTTCTTCGTACCGATAAATCTGTGTTAACTGGTTTATCATAACGTGGTACTTCAATACTATAATCCACAGGTTTGTTGCTATTAAATTTATTGGAGTTTTGATTGTAGATTTCTGACAGTTGATCTTTTAACGTATTTACTTGTTCCAAAGACAAACTACTCCATATTCTGCTGCCTATGCCATGCGTTAACAATCGTTCTGTCTCGATTAATTTTTGTCTGGCCGTTGCGACTCTACCTTCTGATTGTGATCGCCTTGTGGTCATTTGGTTGGCTAAATTTACCACCGAATTGCCTCTCCATAGTGGTTTATACGCATCTTTGACAGAGTGGACGAATCTTTGATCAAATTTGGGTTGTTTGAGTTTTTCAAATTCTCCTTTTATATCGCCAACGGATTTATCTTTGATTCTTAGACCGCGGTCAAACTCTTTCTTCCATTTGTATTTAGAAACATCCTTGGGTAAAAATAGAAAACCCTTTTCTTTTTCGTTCTCTTTAATATGGCGATAGAGGGAGTTTAACTCCCTTTCTGCCTTCTCTCGAGTACGTACCTCCTTCCATCTGTCAAAGTCTATAATTTCGCTTTCCGATTTTTTCCTCGGTTTTAAACTAAAAGTTTTCTCCAACTCACCGACTTTAGCAATCTCTGTATAAAAGTTATTCAAATCCTTAAATTTTTCACCTTTTCTTGACGAACCAACCAACTCCTTTACGTAATTGTGGTAGTCACTTTCGGAACATAGTGAATTCACGCTGTGCGATATATTCGGGCACATATACAACGTGCTTTCGTGCTGTTGATTTTTTATGTTCATGATCTTTCTACACGATGGTGATCTGATCACCTTCGGTGATCTTGGTGGTGATATTAATTTTTCTAGTGGCGATGAGGTCTGTCTGAAATCCGATATGGACTTTAATGATGAGGATTTCACCATGTTATTCACCAAAGGGGATGGTGATCTGGAAATTACCCTTGTAGAAGCGGACCTATAAATTTTTGGTGATGCTGGCGGAGTAGGTGTCTTTTTTCTTACAACCACCGGTGATTTGGGCCTTGAAGTTTCGCTAAAAAACATTTTCGTGCTCAACTTTGGTGATGCAGGTGGAGTAATTTTCTTAACAACTCTCCTCTTAACAATTGGTGAAACAGGTCGACTAGTCTCACTAAAAAACATCTTCAGTGACGTGCAGGATGGCGATTTTTCTTTTTTTATTGGTGAATACGATCTTCGCAACATTGGTGATACAGGTCGGCTAGTTTCACTGAAGACCATTCTGCTAGGTGATTTTCTCAACTCCGGTGAAGGTGGTCTTTGTGGCCTTCTATTCACAATTGGTGATATCGGTCTAGTGGTTTCACTAAATACATACCGAGTTGGTGATCTTTGCAATATTATTGAACGTGGTGGTGTACGTTCAATCCTGGGTGATACTGGTCTTGAGGTGTCGGAAAAAATCATTTTTTTTTGTGAACACTCCTTTAACTTTGATAATGGTGTAGGTGATCTACTTTTATGTGTAATTACTGGTGAAACTGGACGAGATGTTTCAGTGAACACCAATTTTTCTGATGAAGATCTATTTAATTTTGATGATGGTGCATTTAATCTAGGTGATGATGTAGTTATACGTCTTTTTTCCACAATTGGTGATCGCGGTCTTACAGTTTCAGTAAGAATGATTTTGGGTAAGTTTGGTGATATTGGTGAGGTCCCACGTTTAGTGTACGTGTTGAATCTACTTGGTGATAACCTAGAAGTACTATGTCTTAAAATTGGTGATACCGGTCGGCTAGTTTGACTTAATATTATTTTTGCCGGTAGGCTAAGGCTTCTTTTGTTTGATGCTTCGGTTAAGTTTTCATTGCTTTTCCAGGTGACGCTTCTAGGACTGGCGGATCTAGATCTGGAATAGTCGTAGTCCAAGCTCAAAAATTTGGAATCTGTGACTGGTTTTGTATGTTTCAAGTAAACTTTCATAGCACCAACACTTGGTTCTTGTGGTGATAATAATTTTCTTTGGAGTTGGTTGGTTTTTTCCATTAACCATGTATTGGTTGGTGCTATTTTGGGTGGTGGTGAAGCGTTGCGAAGAAAAAGGTTTTTAAAGAATGATTTTCTTTGGAAGACATCTTTTTCTGTAGAGGTATTCGTTTTCGTGTTGTCTTTATAAAGTTTACTTTTTGATTTTTTTGCTATTTCATCATTGATTTTATCCTTCTTACTTTTTTGTGTTTTCTTACTGGTACTTGTGGAAGAGGCAGTACTTTTAGTACTTCTATTGGAACGTAAAGATTCCATCGATGACTTTACCATACTTGTCTTACTTTTGGCAGTGAGGGGTTTTTGTATTGTCGACTTTAACACTTTTTTTCCTTTCTCTGTAATACCAACTTGAATTGGTAGTGTTTCTCTGGTAGAAGCTAAAGATACAGTTGATGTTTTATACGAGGGTACTTTTTTATTATCATTTGGTAATGGCAAATCGCTGGATTTATAACCTTTGGTGACTTTGGTAAGAGGTAGATTAAACTTTTTCTTCTCTGCACCGAAGGTTTTTAACTTATTCAAACTATCGTTTGATTTGGTAATTTTTCTTATGGTGGTGGGTGTAAAAGGTCTTGTTGGAGACTTTAATGCTTCTACAGATCTTGACCTAAGGGATGATAGGTTATCCCTAGAGTTTGATATGTTTGTAACACTATTTATTTTGCTCAAAGATTTAGTGCTTCTTATAGTGGATAATGATGATGTTATTTTTGATTTGGTATCATTTGTAGTTACGGTCTTGTATACTTTAACGTTAACCTTATTTTTATTATCAGGGTTTGGTGATAATTTACAGGTAATCTTGTCTCTTAGGTAACCAATTTTACCTTTTTCAACATTTGAAGTACTCGCAAAGCAATGCTCATGCCTTTTACCAGATGGCGACTTTACTTTCATAGTGGATATGAATCTAAGCGTGGAGTTATTCCTGGATGATTTTCTTTTTGGAGGGGATGGGGGAGGCATGGCAGGGGGGATGGGGATGTTCGCTTTTGAAGGGGCAGATTTTTTCGCACTAGCAAACGTGTTTTTGTTGTGTACTGTAACAGGGTAGCAAGTTGTTTCTCTTTGAGGCTTGATGCTTTTTAAATATTTTCGTAATGAAGTTGTCTCCATGTAGTTTTCTTCATCTGGAAATATTCTGTTGGTTATTATTTGAGTTTTAATTTGTGCTTGGTGCCTTGTGAGGGTCAAATGTGTCTTCATTCAAAGGTGTGTATTCTTATTATAAAGTGAAAGGTTTTGATGTGCTAGTTCATATATTTAAGTTGACAAACCTTACTATAGAGTTATCCACAACCGTATTAGAATCCTTGTAGTAAAGTTAAATGATAAAGAAACGTGCTTTATTACCTCAACCACATTTTAGTAGATTTAGTTTAGAGTTAACCAATTTTTCTTTAATTACCTTTAGGTCTATCTGGTATATTCTTTCTAAGGCCATGGAAAGGCACATCTCCACCTTTTTGTATGGTTTTGTAGGCTTCCTTTTGGTCTTTTGGGCTAAGTGGTTGAGAGGTGGCTTCTTCTTTTCTTCTGAAGACAAGAGTTGAGTCACTTTCGTAGCCAGATTCCTTTAGAGCCCTACAAAATAGTTTTTTAGAAGTTGTTTTAGAGTTGTTTAGATTACTTACTGGTTTATGAAGCTTTTTGGTTGTTGTGGTGGGTACTTTTTCTGCTGGTCAAGATGCTAAAAAATACAAATGTATTACGCATATAAAACATACACAATTGGTGCTGTTTGATCACCATGCTACATGCCTGAAAAGTGTCTGTAAGTGGTTAGTATTACAAAAGTGTACCATTTTCCTGTGTTTTGTGTGTTATTGTAAATTTGTGGACATATACATGAACGGTGTTCCAATAAAAAACATAATATTAAATGTTGGAACAGCCTTTAGAAATAAAATATCAAAAAATTAGATATAAAATGTATAAATAATAATAATAAATTAACTTCTAATTCTTTGATTGCAGATGTTACAATTTTACATGCTTCTTACAGATTTCGCTAGTGCCTTGGCCAAAATGTAGTCATAACTGGGTAGAGCGGAGTTGTCATCCAACCACTTTATGTATATTTTTGGTGAATTAAAAGCATTATGTTAGTCACAACACATCTACACTGTACCACCTTAAGACACTGAATGTCCACTGTATTTCATTTTGTAAAGCAGATTTTGTTAGGATGATTTTCGCAGTGATATTTCTGGAGACGAAAAATGTTTTGGAAAAAATGGGCATCCAGAAATATCGGTGAAATGTAGTGGATATCCAGCGTTTTTTATGAACAATAAAATAATTTTATTGCGATTTTAAGAAAAATATAAACATTGATATAATAAAATTTACCCCATCAAAAATATCCATGACTTCGTCCCACCACTAAAATAAAAAAAAACAAAAAAATTAAGCAATTTACAAGCATTAAAACTGTTTACCCTATAAAGTTGTATGTATCTAGTGCCATAAATTGTATTATTTCATTAGATAATGACGTTCACATGATCATTGTGGGAGGGGCTAATTGCCATTGTTGCCACATATTGCTCAGTGACCGTCCTCTAAAGCCAAGTTAAATTGTAACCTTATTAAAATGCCTTTTGCGAAGAAGAAAACAATTGGTAGTCTAATGGTTGAAGGTTTGGGTTTAAGCAAAAAAACTCAAACATTGAGCTTTTTATATATACAGGGTGTCACCAAATAAGTTATCATCCTTTATGGGGATGATAAGAAAGTTTTCCTCTATTATTTTAGCATAAGTGCCATTTTTTTTATAAAAAAATCATTAAATTTTGTATAGGTAAAATAGAAATTTGAGGCCGCCACTGGTTGACGGCCTATAAACAATTTAATGATTGCTAAAATTCAGAAAAACGCGCCAGGGCATCCCCTGCCACACCACACATTGGCAACCTGCAATCGCGTACGTACGTATAGTTAAATGTGATCAACTGATTAACTCCGTTTGATGTAAGTTTATGGGTTATCTCTGGTGTAGGTAGTGTTTGGTTGTTTGTTATATTTGCTAATTTCTTGGGGGTTGTACTTCCTAATCCCGAATTTTCAAGGTAAGTTGTACATGTTTTTTTAATTGCATGTCCGCCATGCATTATCCATTTTTCTTAAATGGACGAAGTTTTTATTTATTTATAAAAAAACCTTATTAGTCTTTCAGTACCATCATGATATCCTTGCAGAGCGTCCTGAGTATATATTGCTTTAGGACTTTCAGCAATCTTTAGGATTCGCCTCTAAATACATAAGATACATATTTCGTTTTAGAATAACCATGTGCCATGGCAGACAGATCCTGCACATCTAGTACAGTAACTGTTCTTCTTCTAGTGGGTTCCTAATAGTTTCTACAGAAAACAGAGCAATTTCAGTTTATGGATCGAAAAACCTGTGTACACAAGACTACCAGAAGCAGTTGACAGAATTCATTGTATTTAAAGTTCATATTAATGTATTGTACAACTAATATTTGCACAAGAATATACATATTTAAAGGAATTAGAGCTTTAATTGCATTTAATGTAGCCATTCATTAGAAACCATAACTTTATTTATGCCAATGATAGTTTTTCATTAAGATTTATTGTGGCTTCAATTAAATAAAATTTAATTCAATAATTTCTTATGTTTTAACTAAGTTTTAATATAGATTTAATAGAATCACAATTTAATTCAATGACTTCTTATGTTTGAACTAATTTTAAGCAGGTTTGCACAAATAAAATTAAGACAATTCATTTGATCATAGCTGTAATTCAGGTATTGCAAATACAGTACACCATTGGCTCAATGGTTAACCCATTCACAATATAACAGCTTTCATTCATAATTTTTTTATTAAAAAGGATGACAAATTATTAGGTGACACCCCGTATATTGTGTTTTTATCAAGGATAAACCTATGGCATAGAATGAAGGTTATAATTGTGCCGCGCACTTAAAAAAACACAACAATCTGCTATATCACAAAGCATTGCAATGATGATAGATTTTATATACTTTCAATGACTTATTTGCAATGATTTTCAACCAAAATGAAAAAAAAACATTTAGTAACTCACTTCTTTGGCTTCTTTTTCGGCAATCGAGGAATGACCAGGGGTGTAATTCTCAATTCGCCCTGGTTTCAATAAATCCTGTCCGTTTCTTAGGATGTCAGAAGACGAGGACGATCTGCAAAAAATCAGGTTGTTCATTGTTTTGTAAACACAATTATGGATTTTTTTAATGCGCTAATTATAGAATTACTCTCCGTTTTAAGTGCGATAGTTTGGATCATCTTAAAGGTGCGCCAAATGCGATTTATAAATAAAGTCAAGTTGATTGGGCAATAAAAACTGTTGATGAGTAATTTGGTGCGTTTATAGATCCAAAAGAAAGGGTCATTAATTATAAAATAACAAATTGTACAGGTTTTGATTATTTAGTGCGGTTGTAAAAGGCCCCTTTTAGTTTTAGAAGCGATATGTAAGAAATCGGACATTTTAGTATGTTAAACTGGGCAGTAGTATTTAATATTTTTCGACATAAAAAATATAAGTACAATTTTTAACATTTAACAATTTTATTTTGAAAATTTGGAAACTGGACATTGTCAACAAACCCCATTTTGAAAATTTCTCATTTTTTTTGTTAAAAAGTAGTATACAGGGTGTTTCATATTCGTGGTTCTTTAAAATCTATTTAAGTTTATTTTTCTAAAAATATTTTAAACAAAAAGGCACTGTGACAAAATTTAAAAATGTAATGATATAATATATGGGGTGTTTCGTTTGAAATAACAAAGTTGATGTCACTTCCGGTTAAACAGGAAGTGGAATTTTGTCAATTTTTTTTTGAAAAATAAAATTAAATGGATTGTCGTAAAAACATAAATATAATTCTAAAAAAAGTATAATAAATTATGAAAGCATAAATAAACAAAATGTTCAACAATAACACAGTACGACAAAATTTGATTTTTTTCCCTCCCATGAAAAGTTTTTATAGATTTTGAAAATAGACTTAAACAAATGGTACCCATGTCTCGGCGTTTTTTCAGATCACGTCATTTTTTTTTAAGTGCGATCCAATTTTTTATTTTATTTTATTTTTTATCCATTATTTTATTTTAAAATTATTTTAATTATATACAGGGTGTTGCACATTTACGAAATACGGGTGTTTTACGTTCGTGGTCCAGAGTTTCTGTGGAACGGCAAAAGATATCGATTTGAAATTTTTAAAGCATTTATAATCCAATTAAGCCTATTTTTCTAAAATATTTTAAACAAAATGCCACTTCCGGTTTGACCGGAAGTTACATCAACTTTGTTATTTTAAATGGAACACCCCATATATTTTTACATTTTTAAATTCTACATAAAATTTTGAGTAAAATTACTGTACCATGTCCTATACCTAGAGTAAATAGTTTTGGAGTTATTAATTTTTTCCGTTAAAATATGACAAATGCGCGTCAATCAAAAATAGCCTATAACTTTCTTGATATTAGGTTTGCAGAAATGGGGGTTGAATTTTTGGAATCTTAAAACATTGTTTAAGAGATTCCATGTTAATTTCTTAACATATCGGGTGTTACATTTAAAATAAAAAAGTTATTAACGTTTCAAGTTAGCCCAATTTGCCCTGGGTTTTTTCGGGTAATTTGTTGAAAATTTTAAAGAATGGACATGGAATTTTTTAAACAATGTTTATTATTACAAACATTTTACCCCCATATCCGTAAACCTAATAGCAAACATCTAGAAAACTTTTCACTTTAGGTATAGGACATGGTATAGTAATTTTACTCAGAATTTTATGTAGAATCTAAAAATGTAAAAATATATGGGGTGTTCCTTTTGAAATAACAAAGTTAATATCACTTCCGGTCAAACTGAGGGTTGCATTTTGTTCAAAATATTAAAAAAAATAGAGTTAATGGATTATAAACCCTTATAAGTTTCAAATCTATATTTTTTGCGTTCTCCAGAAACTTCCAATGGACCACGAATGTGAAACACCCTGTATATCAAGTGGTGTTTTTAGGTTGTGATACCACTATAGATTCGAAAGCCATATATAATTGTCAAACTAAAAGATCAAGACATGTTTCCAACATATATTTAATATAAGATAAATGTTGTTTTATTAAAAAAAATCAAAAATTAAAACCAGAAATATTTTTTTTTACTCAAAAAAAAATAAAATTGTTATTTTCTTTATGTATAATTTTTATATTATGTAAAAACATAAAATATTTGAAGAAAAAAAAAATGATTTATAAGAAAAAAGAGAATTAAAAATCTGTTTAGGTTAAAATAATAAAAAAGCTTAGCTTTATATTTTGGTTTGCAAACTTGCAAAATCATTTAGCTTGTGGTTCTTTTAAGTTATACGTATCGTCATTTTAATCCAAACCTATTATATTAGTTTATCCTAAACTTAACTTTTCCTCAAGCTTGTTATAAAAAATTGCCATCATTTTAGCATGTTCAAATTATTTTCAGACCATAATATTTATCACAAAAAACTTACTTATTGGGCAAATTCCTCGGCATCGTATAAGAAGCTGAAGTATAATCGTGATCCCTCTCCTTATAGGGGGTGCGTCTTCTATCAAGGGTGGCGTATTTGTAGTCGGCGTAGTCGCTATCGTAGGCGCCTGGTTCGGGTTCGGATAGGTACCCTGAGGCATACGGGTACTGCGCTGTGGGCCACAAAAACACTAATATTAACGCGCAGAACAACATAAATCAGTTTTGATGAAATACATCTTGTTTATTTAGAAAAATAAACATAATTTAATAATGTATTTTTTTAAATGAACAAAATATACCTTGCAAGCAAATTATTCCCCTAAGAGTATTGCGTCCATACACCAATGCACGATTTTAATAATGATAATACACAAAGTTTATAGTTATTAAAATTTAATGTTAAGTTAGGTTCAAGTTTATCTTATCTCTTGGCGGTGAAATGCAGACTTTTAGTAACGCGATACGTGCTGGAATAGAAAGTCGTATAAATCGTTTGAATTGTTTTGAGTTTTTTTTCCGTATTTTTACTTTTTAAGACTGTTTGTTCGTGTGGTACTATACACAATGAATCGTTGTTTACTGGGTTTACTATCGCGATTTGTAATGGTTATTAGTTAAAAATACATGAATATTAATTTGATTATTTAGTTTATTTCTGCGCTAAGTTATACAGGGTGTTGGTTATACCCAACCTAAAATGTTTAGTATATGTTAATCATCATTATTATTATTATTATTATTAGTGTTTTATAAGTGGGTTTTATTAATATTGATTCTACTACATGTTGAAATATGCGAAAAAGCCTAAATAAATAATTATAAAGCTGATAAAATGCCAATGCTTGATGTTTTGAAATGAATAAATACCTCTTTTTTGTTTATATTTAACTGTTACATATTCGCCTGTAATTTAAAGAAATTTAGTCAAAAACAATTTTTTACGGTCTTAAGTTATTAAAATTTAAAAAAAAATACTTACTATTACGGGGTTTTTGTTTATGTATCGTATCATACATTTTCTTGTACCATTTTGACTGGTCCTCATCTCTAATCTCCTAAAACAATAACAAAAATAGTTAGGCCCTTATATTAATATAAATTTACTATAACCTTTTACTTATTTAACAGGGTTATTATTATTATTATTTTCCTATAAATTATATAAGTTTTAAATATAATCCAGTGGCGGCTCATGGGTGTATAGGAGGTTAATTTTGTCTAAATACGAATAAATTTCTACGAATATAGATATATCTGAAACTTAAAAATATATTTATATGTATAAATAAAAATATATATTCATATAAAACAAATAAAATATAAGAGCAATCGGAATACCCACCCTGAACTCAGAGGCTTACTCTGACGATCCACCACTGATGTAATCGCAACTTAATTTCAAATACCGATTTTAACTTTGTTTTTAATTACCGTGAAAAATATTAATTTCTCTATTTTTGAAATATCTTTATAAACTCGTGTTCTTATTAATTTTAAAATTTAATTTTTTAATATCAATAACACTAGTTTACAAAATCGAAACAAAATTCTGCCCACCATATCCCATTATAATTTTTCCATGTATTTTGACCCACTAAACACGAAAAACACACTTAACTTTTTTTTATGGAAGCGTTTTTAAAATATGAATTTTCAATTGTTTTTTTTTAATTTTCGGAGGTGTTTTGACGTTTTTGAGTATAGCTTGAAATCTAATTGATCGATTTGGTCAAACAAGCCCTTAAATTGAAGGTATTTGAGCCCTCTAAAACTCTTTTACATATTTTTAATATCGAATACGTATTTTGACGCTAGTGATTTTAATAACTTAAAAAAATCGTTTTTATGGCAAAAATTGAGTTCGAAAATTTACAGATCGTCCTGAAAAGGGTTTAAATCAAACAGATAACTCCAGTTTGAGTTTTTTTTGTAAAGCTGACATTTTTACAAAAAAAAAACAGCTAATGTTGATAAAAATACATGGAAAAATGGCGTTATGATTTTTCAAGTTCAGCTTTTTGACGATTTTTATTTTATTTTTTAATATGTGTATTCTTTAATAAAAACTTAAGTAAAGTGCATGATTGGAATTTTTTGATTTTTTTTGTTGTTTCTTGTTGGGCATAGTGACATTTTACTGCTATTTTTCGATATTTCAACAAGGTATTTTTATTATGGTTTTATTTAGTTAATAAAAAGTGTAAAATGAGTAAAAGAAGTAGAGACTTTGAATGCATAAATAACCCGGACAATCTGGGTGACGTGAGTGATGAGCACGGAGAACGTTTTCACCGGCAAATGAAGGCTATGGAGCGGCGGTATCACGGCTTCTGGGATGCAGCCATGATGGGTGATTACATTTGGTCCCTCATACGAGAAACGGAATACGAAGCAACAAAAAACAAAGAAGGAGCCATAATTTTTTTTAAACCTATGTTTACTTAAACAAAATAAAACTTTCAATATCTTCATTGTTCAATATTTATTGTTTAATATTCAATATAAAATTTAATTTCAATGCTAAATATTAAATTTAATAAAATTGAGAAAAAACGTAAAAATTCTCGAAAAACTGAATTTTGCTCTTCCACTGAAAAATTCATAACTTCGCCATTTATCCATGGATTTTTATCAACAACAGCTTATTTTTTTCCTTTAAGTATAATCTATACGTAAAATAAATCAAACTAAACTTATGTTTTGAATTTATATCTTTTCCAGAAAGATATGTAAATTTTCGACCTCGATTTTTGTAATAAAAAACACAAAGTTTTAGAGGGCTCAATTACCTTTGATTAAGTGCTTGTTTGGTATAGTATACTCTAAAACGTCAAAAAACCTCAGAAAATTAAAAAAAACAATTGAAAATTCTAATCTCGAAAACGCTTCCATGAAAAAAAAAATGTGATTTTCGCGTTTAGTGAGCCAAACTACACAGGAAAATCATAGCGAGACATGGTGGGCAAAATAGCTGTAAACTAGTGTTATTCAGGGAAAAAGTTTTAAAAACCCCTTGTCATATTAAGACCTAGATATAATAACCACTAGACCATATGGGATATACTCTTTTTAAAATTCTGTAAGTATTCTGCAAGTTATAAAACTTAAAAAAAAACAAAATTTGCACACTTTTCAAATTTTGACCTAATATATCATTTAAATGTCTAGGTTTACAAAAAAAACCTTTTTTGTAGAGCAATTAATTCACTATCCTAAACTTTGTTTATATCCATTTGTAAGTAAGATGGGCAAATTTTCGTTAAATGTACATTTGCTGTCCCCAGCTAATTTTATTTTTATTTTTGACCTTTGTTGATAAGTTTTGTATTTATTATATTTAAATACCCCCTTCCTGTTAGGACCCATCTTCTGAAAAAATAAATTATTTTGAACAATTGATGGAAAGTTCTTTTATTCGTAGGTATATAAAACTTAAATAGTTTTCTACAAAGTAGTTTAAACAGAAAAAAATATTAAAGTTGACATTCAAAAATCTTGTCTTTTTCCTAACGTCGTCTTCTATGCCGACTGCTTCGAAATAGAGACACGAAATAGAGATACTAGCGTTTTATTTCTAGAGGGCATCCAGTTTGCCCTGGCGAAAATAAAGCGTGCACAAAAAGTGTGCAATAAGTGTGTATTTAGTGTGCAAGTCTTTATAACAATGCACATAGACGCTATTTTGTTGTAATGTCACACTTTTTGAAATAATTTAGTTTTTTCACTCTTTATGCACATTGACATCACGCTTTTTATTTGTCACTTGTCACGCTTATATTAAATTATTTTTTTGCACATTGTTTGCACAGTTTTAGTACATTGTTTAAAGACAATTTTGCAAAGCTTCAGTCTATCTTACGCATGTCACATTTTATACACACTGTTAATGTGCTATAAAAAGGTGTAATATAAGCGTGATAAATGGTAAATTTTTGGTTTTGCACATTGTTTCATGTTCCATTTCCCACCCTCTGCACATTGTTCTCAAATAATTTTGCACACTTTTTGCACATTTCATTTTCGCCAGGGTGATACTTCGGCAACAACAAGTGAGCACGTGTAAAGTGTGTGAATTTTTTTTATAAATATTTTAAAGGTAAGATTTTTTTGCGTACACTTTTTGGTGACTTTTACAAAACGCTGCATACAACTCTTGTTTTAGAAGTTAACTCTTTTATTTTCATTTTGTATTATAGCATAGTAGAAATGCCAAACAAACGCCGAAAGATATTTACATTTAACAGTATTTCTGAAAAATAACGTTTGAAAAAGTCAAAAGCAATGTGTCATAAAACGTTCAGGAAGATGCGTTAGGAGGAGGACAAGGTTTCATTTCTTCCTTGTGTTCCTTCCCTATTTCAGATTAACCCTATAAGTTTTATTTCTTTAAAGTTTTTGTTATTTATAAAGTTATAGAATTTGTTTGCAGTCTATTACACTGTTCTATCATAAAGGAAAAAAAACGATCAAATTGACCTGTCTGGACAAAATATACATACAATATGTACATTTAACGAAAATTCGCCCAGATACTAAATGATTTTCATTGGACTAATATAAAAATTGAAAATTGCAAAGAGAAGGATCTTACTCTTAATAGTATTTGATATCAGAAGTCAAAAAGTTGATTTTTTGACTATATTTTACAAGCAACCAAGTGAACGTAGAAAATTGACAGTTTTATTAAAACAAGATTGTAGACGATAAAAAAAGGCTTAAAATTAAATTAATATGAAAATTACACTTACAGATCTTAATATTATAGGCATGCCGTCCTTGGTAGTGTGCCCTGATCCTTGATGTTGTCTATGACTCGAAGGAGTGCCCCTTCTAGATCGTTCGTTTTCGGAGTCGCTTAAATATTCGCTTTTAACAGAGTACACTGAAAAAATATATAATTTTTTTATTCAATTTTTTTCTTCGCTATGGGTATTTTTACCAGGACTTATTCCCTGTAGCCTGTCGTAATGCGATCTTTTCTGATAGATCGGAGGTTCAGGCTCTATGTAATGGGCCCCTCTAGGAAGTTGCCCCTCTATAAAAGCATACAACAATAAATTAAGATAATAAAATAGAAATTCTATATACAAGGTGTCCCTAAACTTGGTGGCATAAATTGAGGAGCAGATTAAGCAAGTCAAATTAAGACGAAAATCTAAATAAATATTTTTTCTAATTACGTATGTTTACTATGGTAGACTTCTAAAGGTGGTAACTGTCACTTACTACCAAAACACATATTCACACATAATTAAAATTGTTCGAGTGAAACAGTGTCGTAGAAACAGGGGTTGCTTAAGCTTATTGACCGATACAAACTTTGAGGTTAGGTTTTTATACCATTTGATGCAATTTTTCGATTACTCAGTTCGGCTACCATTAAAAAAGGTGTACCTCTCAAACTTCGATAAAATAAACCGTTTCCGAGATATTCGGTATTACAATAATTGTTATATCGCATTAAAGGACTAGAAGGTATATGATAACAATTTTTTTAATTGAAAAAACTACAATTTTTTTAATGTGACGGTCAGGGCAAAAAGTCCCGAGGCTCATGGAATGCTCTTTTTAGTTTTTTCAATTAAAAAATAAAATTTGTTATCATAAGTATACCTTTTAATCCTTTTAAATAATGCGATATAACAATTATTTTAATCTCGAATATCTCGGAAACGGTTTATTTTATTGAAGTTTGAAAAGTATAAGTGTGTAATCTAAAAATTGCATCAAATGTTATAAAATCTTAACCTTAAAGTTTGTATGGGACAATAAGCTTAAAGCAACCACTGTTTCTACGACACTTTGTTCACTCAAACAATTATAATTATGTGTGAATATGTGTTTTGGTAGTAAGTGACTGTTCGCAAAATATCACCTTTCCAAGACTACCATAGTAGAAGTTATATTAAAAAAACTGATATGATAGGTAACACTTTATAACCCTGTATCTTGGAAACATAAGTAATTAGGAAACATATTTATTTAGGTTTTCGTCTTATTTTGACTTGCTTAATCTGCTCCTAAATTTATGCCAATAAGTTTAGGGACACCTTGTAGGTATAGTAAAATAATACTACAAGGTATAGTATCCAACCTACCTCTTGCCTTTTGTAGTAGAGTAATAGTTGGATTCTGGGCCCTCGGTAGACGTTGAGTACCCAAATCGCAAAAACCAGAGGCGGGTAAGGAAGAACTGTTTGGAAGACGTTTTTCTAGACTCGAAGACAAATATAAGCTCGCCTCAGTGGCGGAGGTGTCGGGTAATTTCCAGCGGGCTTCACTTTTTACACTGTCGGGAGTACCAATACTCTAAACAAAAATTATGTTTTGATACGGCAAAATTACATTGATCTGTATAAGATTATAAGGCCAATAATAATTAGGGTTACTGAGATAATTTTTATCTTTACACCGAAAGATAAAATAAAATTAGAAACGGTTTTTTTAAATAATGTAAGGTAAGGTTATGTAAAAGTGCGAACAAATTGTTTTAAATTTTTATATAGCTAAGTTTATATAATTTACAAAAATACAAAATAATGAAAAAAGTCGTATTATCCCTATTGTCCACATTTTTAATATTTTTTAGGATTAAAAAGTTTCGAAAATTCTTAATGGGAAATATTGCGAATAAAAATATCAAGTTATAGGTAGTTATAGTCGCACGGAGAAAAAAATGGACAATAAAAAACTGCTCTTTCATTTATTTTTTAATTAAACCGGGTGATTAAAAACTGCACATTAAAATAAATGTTTCGGGTAATTGAAAACTGCTTAAATTCATAAGAAATTGGATAATTGAAAACTGACCTAGCTTATATAAATTTTAAAAATGGTAAGACACATCTACGAAGTAGTTAAACATATAAAATAGGGGAAATAATTCGCACAGTGCGATATATTAATAAAATGGTAGGATAAATTTGCACAGTGACATACATTTAAATAATATAAATTTTCAAAACTTTTAGTAAGAACTGCGTAAGCAAATAATGAAAAGAAAATGTAATTTTTTTTATGAAAATGTACAAATAATAAATATATTGAGATGTCCCCCAGAAGGGGGTTTTTGGGAAGCCACCAGGTCTAGTAATAACATAACATAAGTGGTTCTGCACTAATGCAAGAATTTTAATAAATCATACATTTTGAATATTAGTGCTTCATGAAAGATATCTTCACGGAGGTTAGGATTTCGTATGTTTTTTTAAACAAAAAAAATACAATTGTACATATGTACATAAAATGTTTATTATAAAATGTACTTACTGAAATATTACACTTCACGGTGGATACGTTTTTAAATAGCAAATTAATGAACTTAAACTTTTGAATTATAAAACAGCAACACTCTCATTTTTGTAACACCTACATAAATGGCTATAAAAATTATTTCTTTTAATTTTTAATAATATTTTATATTTGATTCGATTGCTTTGGATGTGTTTAATTTACTTAGTGAACTGATATTTTTAGTATGCTTTTACTAGCTCAGATATTTGAAATCATTAGTTTAACCTAGAAAGATAGGTTTTAGACTTTTAAAACATTGTAAAAATAATTAATTGCGGTTAAAAATCTGGAACCTGAGCTGTAATATCTACTTAATTATGAAAGATCAAAACACAATAAAAGTGTAGGTTAAACTCATTTAGTTTTAATAAATATCACGGGGAACATTTCATGAGATTCATCCGTATGTACTATGCTCCACACCTCAAATTCCCACCACGTGACCACGTACGGAACGCAGTCCTTTGAAAATTTGGCATTTAAGGCTTTTCAGGTTATGTATCTGTCAAAGTATAGTCAACGAAAGAAATAATATTATGTTTAGGCGTTAAAAATATATAAATCTTTATAACATTACAATAACAATGGATGGTTTAAGAATTTAAGAATATAAATACTGCATTTAATGAAATTCTAAAGTGTATGGTGCCAAATAAGTAATATTTTTGTGCATTTGGTCCAAATATCTGGTTTTCTCCATAAAATAATTTTAACTAAACTGCATTTATTAAAAAAAATCTAGCTTCTCTATTATGGAATAAGAATATCTGTTTTAAAGGTAGGTTAATATTTATATTAAAATTTTTAACAAATCACATGTCATGGGAGTATTAAATATTTTCACATTGCAAATTTCTTTAAAAATTGTTTGTTTTCTTATAATCTAACTTAAAGTAGGTATGCCGAGAGGTATACACAAGTTTTGTCATTAGAAGTATAAAAGCTTCAATTTAATTTGAACCATAATCAACAATTATTTAGTATACCTACCTATATTTATTTATGACCCTATACACTCTTCCAAATAATCCACTTATTTATTTTGGTCAAAATAAATTTTTCTAACCTTGAAATACAAAATTAGATGATATTTTTTGTTCTAATAGATTAACCTACCTTTGATACAGATATTCTTATTTCATAATAGAGAAGTTAGATTTTTTTTAATAAATGCTGTTTAGTTAAAACTATTTTATGAAGAAATGTAGACCCAATGCACAAAAATATCACTTATATTGCACCTTACACTTTAGAATTTCATTAAATGCAGTATTTATATTCCTAAATTCTTAAACCAACCATTGTTATTGTGATACTATAAAGATTTATTAACGCTTAAACATAAGCGGTAACACATAAATATTATTTCTTTCATTGACTATACTTTGACAGATACATAACCTGAAAAGCCTTAAATGCCAAATTTTCAAAAGACTGCGTTCCGTACGTGGTCACGTGGTGGAGGTGTGGAGCATAGTACTTACATATATTATTTTTTTATAAATAAATTAAAGTTTATTTTACCTCTGTACTTTGAATACGTTTTCTTCCCAATACTGGGGACTGAAAGTTGACCGGTTTAAATTCTTTTCTTTCGACTATTGGACTTGTGGTGGCACTTTTTGGGGTCCACACTGGAGGAATTGTTCCATTTTCGTCATCGTACCTCTTAAAACGTTCTTCTTTGTAGTGGGAATCTTGACGTTGACCTGGAGACCAAATACCTACGAAACAATAGGAAATGTTAATTTTTGAAAAATATGGTGATTTTTTATGATTGAGCACAAAATAGTTAACTTTAAAACAATGCAATATTTGAACACAAAAAGGTTATTTAGGCTCACCCTGTATAAATCAACACTTTTTAATACAATGAAAACATGAGTTAGTTCGATAAACAAACAGGCAAAACATACACGTACAACAAAGTAGAATGTAGCTAATTTGTAAATACGTTTGAAGGTAGTGAAAAAAGTTTTTGGCCAATATCCTGTCAACTATATATAGATCCGGTTGAGTCATTTTATAGTTTGGGTGACAAGTAAAAATAGCACATTTATTATTTACTGTATGACATCCAAAGATTCTATATTTCAACCGGTCTAATAGAAGGAAACATAAATTTTTACGTTTAACCCAACCGTCAAATCTTGTCTTTTTTTAAATTTATATGTGTATATTAGGGTGATTCGTTTGGAAGGAACATTTAGTTTTTTTACACCCTACTCTCTAAAAATGAAACAGTGGATTTTCACTGATTGACAGTGCATATTAACTATTTGCCGCAGTGATAAGTATACCACTAGCAATTAGTGAATGGCATTCACTGAATGCTCACTTTTTCATGTAGCGATTTCTTTGCACTAATTTATTTAGTGGAAATTACACTGTACAAATTAGTGAAATAGGTTTAGTTCAAAAAAGTTAAAATTTCACTATTTTATGTCGAGAGTTCCGGAAAAGTAGTGATAATAAAAAACACTAATTTGGAGAAGTTAAAATTTCACTAATTTATATTGAAAAACACTAATTTTACAGTGAATAATAACTCACTGACGGAAATAGTGAAAATTTCACTGTTTCACTTTTAGAGAGTAAGCAAAATATTGATTAATATATCAGGGAAAAATCCCTTAAAGTTTTAGCCCTTCATTTTACTCCTAAGGGGCCGTTCATTAATTACGTGAGACAATTTTGGCGGTTTTTGGAAGTGTCAAACACTTTAAATATTATCAATATATCCTTTAGAAAGTCAAAAGTAAACTTAAGAATGTTAAACCAATAATTAGGACATCAAACGCATTTAAAAATGTCAAATGCACATTTTATAATTTAAAACATGGCCAAAAACGTCAAAATAATTTTTAAAACGTCAAAGTCATATTTAAGAATGTCAAAATACTTCAAACACATTCAAAAATGCCAAAAACACTTTTAGAATGTCAAACTTGGTTTTTAGAAATTGTCAATATATCTTAATCTTAAGAATGTCAAATTAAAAAACAAGCACTAAAAATTAAAAGAGACACTACACTCTCAACACCCAAAAGTCCCACTTTGACATTTGAATATAAATAATTTTAAAATATCTATTAGTTTAACGCTAATTTGTTTTTAAAACAATAGGGTACCTAACCATTCTAACTTGAGAATGTGTATTACAGGAGCCACGGTCAAAATGTAAAAATTTCTAAAATTTATATTTGCAAACCTAATAACAAAAAAGTAATTTTTGATTGACACGCATTTGTCAAATTCTAACGAAAAAAAATGAATAACTCGAAAACAATTCACTTTAGGTTTAGGACATGGTATAATAATTTTACTCAGACTTTCATGTAGAATTTAAAAATGTAAAATTTATAGGGTGTTTTATTTAAAATAACAAAGTTTAACCGGAAGTGGGATTTTGTTAAAAATATTTAAGAAAAATAGACTTAAATGGTTTATAAACGCTTTTGAAATTTCTAATCGATATCTTTTTCCGTTCCCCACAAACTTCTAATGGACCACGAATGTTTTTTAGTAAAATAGATTTTCTGCATTTTAAAAAGTCCTAAAAACATTAAACATTTTTTTTTATTTCAGAAATTCAATATTTATTTGAAACATGGTGGTGTATATTTTAAACTTAAAAATCTTATAAATAAAGAAATGCTAATAAAATTATGAAACTTGTCATTTTTAGAACATATTTAAAATTTTCCATGTTAGTCGCTTAATTATATATTATAATTGGTTTTTGAGTGGTTCTATTGTTAAAAGAATCCTTTTATCTTTCCTGCAAAATGTAAAAATGCATCATCATCTAATAATTACGACGTGCTTGAACAAAAGAACTTTTGAATCTTGTCCTATATAATTGAACGAGATACCCTTCCATTGTGAAAAGTAAACAACAAAATGTTACGTCGCGACAGTTCAAAAAAAGAAAAATCATAAATTAAGTGAGTCTCGAATTTTCCTGCGAATAAGCTAATTTAAACTGGAAAAATTATGGCACCTGACTGAAACCAAATTTATTAGTTTCAAGCAATTTGGCAGTGCTTTAAATGGAACAAGGTAATTTGGTTTATTGTAATTTGAAACTTTGTATGATTCAAGTTTCACTTTGCTATATGGGTTATTTTCAAATTTCTTGTACATTTGCGGTCCCTCAACTTTAATATTTTATAAAAAATTAAGTGGAACGTTACTAAGCGAAATCAATTGGTTTAAGTGTTTTTAGCAACTATACAATACTACATACGAGGTGTGTTCAGAAAATATCGGAAATTTTCGTTTATTGAAACAAATATTTATTAATTTGTCTACATTAATATCGCCTTTAAAATAGTCCCCATTGGATATTATGGACCTGTGCCAGCTCTTCTTCCAATACTCGAAACACTTCTAAAACTCGATCTTTGGGATAGCCTTTAGTTCTTTCAGCGATGCGCTTTTAATGTCATCTATGCTTGCAAAACGACGGCCCTTTAAGGTTGTCTTTATTTTTGGGAATAGGAAAAAGTCAGACAGAGGCATGTCTGGCGAATATGGAGGCTGGGGCATCATTACATTATTGTTTTTGGCCAAAAACGTTGTTCAAAATTTAACAATTTTAGAACAAATTTTGCTGCCACGCGTTTCATACCCAAAACATTCGAAAAAATTTCATGGGATGAGCCAATCGATATACCAACATCATCAGCGACTTCTCTGATGGTTTACAACCATTTCTTCCACTTTTTCCATGTTTTTATCGGTTGTTAATGTGCTTGTGCGCTCGGGGCGTTCGTCATCTTCAACGTCTTCACGGCCATCTTGGAAACTCTTATACAACTTGTAAACTCTCACTATAGGCCTTTGTTAACATTTCACAGAATTTATTTAATTTTTTAAGCAAAATTAGATACAAATTCCTTGATCCATTTCTTTTAACGAACGAAAAATCGCCGAGCTCATAAAATACGTCTAACCTTAGCGGCTGCCACAGACAAAGTAAACAATGAAAACAGCTAAAGTTTTTATCATACTTCGGGGGCATGTATACCAACATAATACAGAAAATTTTATGACAACCTGACCCTCCGAACCCGCGAAATTTAACAATTCCCGTTATTTTCTGAACACACCTCGTATACTATATTAGCAAAATTGTAAAATTTTAAATTTAACCCTAACATTCTCCTTTTTTATTGAGTTGAGAATTTATTCCAAATATTACAGAAAAAGCCCATTTGTGGTAATATTTAAAAATACAAGTTGTTAAAATAACCCCTAAACTTTGTCCCTTAATTTTGGTCCCCTAGGTCACGTCTCATGGGTCACAACTTTCATAAATGACCTTTTGAATTGAGCACATTTTTTGATGCTGCCCCCTTGCGGCAATTTATTTGGTAACGCATTTTAGTAGGAAAAGGTGTTTTTAACTATCTTGATCTTGTATTTTTTATACCAGCGAGGCAAAACTGTGTCACAGTAATAAAAATTAGTAAAGGTACTAGTTGGACTTTGTTTGATTCTAAAAAATAAGTAGGCTAGTAATGGTTTTAAGAGCAAAAATACAAATTTTTATCTTTGAAACAGTAAAGAGGTTATGTTCTAAAAACATACCTTTTTCCCCTGGGTCACACATCTCCTGGATCACATATTGTGTGACCCAGGGGAAAGTTACAAAGAAATGAATTATAATATATTTTTGAAATAATAATAAACTTATAGGAAAGTTTTAACATTTTTTTTCGACCTTTCACCTTTTCTGTTTCTGACAGTACGTAGGCAATTTAAAATAATGTCCTCCACCTTTTTAATAGAAATTTTCCTAGTCAAAATGTATTTTGCCTCAAAAAAGCTGGACAAATTTTTTGGTAGTTCAACGAGATAATTTTTATATTGACTTTTTATTACTATTTTATTAATATTACTAATAACTAAAACTTTTTATTAATTATTTGCTCGTTAAATTGGACTAGCTGGGCCCAGATAAAAAATCTAGAAAAAACGTTTTTAATACCCATTAAAATAAAATTTCTTAAACTCACTTTTTTTAATGGACATTTTTAAAATACAAAAAATTAATTAAATATATTTATGTATGTAAGAAAGTTGAGAAATATGACATAGTTTTTGCTTTTACTTAGTTTTGTACTCAATTTTTTTTGTAAATTATAAATTCAAAATGATTAAGCAATTTTATAAATTTTTTGTTATTGTTAGTAAATTTGTGACCCAGGGGACCTTTTTTTCTTTTTCTTATTAAAAAAAAACAACTGCCCAATTTTAGGTGTTAAGTAATTTGGAAAAAACAGGTTTGTAGATAAAGTTTATGTTTTTACATTTTTTTTTTTTGGCCCAAATAACTAAAGCTTGAAATTTAAGATGCAATAATGTTTTTCGTCTATTAGGGCAGATTTCAAACTTTTGGCCAATATTTTTCTTTTTATTGTCAAAATTATAAATTTATAAAAATTTAGGAGTTAAATTAGATATTCTCGGCGATAATATTACAGAAAATTATTGTAAACAAAAAGATCTTTTAAAGGGTAAAACTAGTGTCTACAGTATGCTTGATGGTGCATCTATTTTTAATATTTTTCAGAGTCATGTGAAACGTTCATGCCCTCTTTATGAGGCGACAGAAAATGCGAACACCCTTGTTTACAAAATAAGTTTTAATTATAAAAGCAGTTTTATTTAGGTAATACCGGATGGACGCAAGACAATGGTACCAACCTAAAATAGT